TCTCACCAAAAAAATAAAAATAAAAATAAAAAAGAGAGAGAAAAGTTGAAAGTTGTTGATACTTTTGCTTGCTGTCTGAATCCAACTTTTTCTTATCTGTAACATTGATCCTTATATATTTCGTAATCTTTTCAATTTTTGGTTTCTAATAAAACAACTTCAGGTATTGTTTAACAAGTGCAAATATTTGGGACCAACCTTAGAAGACAAACTATTTTGTCAACTATTAAATGTGAGGGACTGTAGGTAAAGGTTGAGAAGCAAACTTATGCTTTGAATCAAAATTTGTGGATAAAAAAGGACTTATGCTTTAAATCAAAATTTGTGGATGAAGACGAAATGCTAAAAAATGTAGTCTTATTCTTATACTAGTAGTATTAGTGAAGTTCAAATTGTTCATGTTGAGAGGCAAACAAGAAAAGTTAAAGTTGTGGATAACTTACTAGCTATTCGAAAATGACTGTCCTATTTTGATAGTAACATTGAGATTGATGATCCCTTTTGTTTCTTAATCTTTTCCCAAAAAAAAAAAAAAACTACAAAATTTTTTTTTTTTTTTGGAAGGGTACAAATAGTTTGGTCGCAACTCCTCAAGATAATGCTAAGGATTGCAAGTAAAGGTGGAGAAGCAACTTTCACTTTGAATAAAAAATGTAGACAGAAATGGATAATACTCTATATCATAATAAAAACCCAATTTTTGCGAAACACATTCTAAAGAAAAATAGTACTAGTATATTAATAAAGTTTAAGCTATCACTTTTAGAAAACCCAAAAAAAAAAAAAAAAAGAATTAAAGTTGTTAATATATCTTACTTGCTGCCTGAAAACAACTCTTTCCTACGTTAGCCGTAACATTGATCCTTTTTGTTTCTTAATCTTTTCTTCTTCTTCTTTTTTTGTTTTTTAAAAGAAAAATTAATTAGGTTTTTGTTTTAAACAAGTACATAGATTAGGAGGGCAACTCCTCAAATGATAGACTGTTTTCTGCCAAGTACTAAACTATTGGGACTACAAGTAGAGGTTAAGAAGCAACTTATAATTTGAATAAAAAATTGTGGACCGCAAAAGGAATTCACTACAGAAAACCAAATGTTGAGAAAAACATGCTAAAGAAAAGTAGTAGTATATTGTTGAAATTCAAGTTGTAACTAAAGGTTAAAGTTGTCTGTAACTTTCTTCTTGTCTGAATATAGCTTTGTCCTATTTTGCCAACAACATTAATCTTTTTATTTCTTAATATTTTCATTTGCTTTCTTAAAAAACAAATTCAAGATTTTTAATTGTGCTCACAAAAGGAATTTACTATATAGTTAATAAAAAATGAAATGTAGAGAAACATATGCTAAAGAAAAGTAGTAGTATATTAGTGAAGTTTAAGCTGTGAGTTTTGGAAATAAAAGAAAAGTTAAAGTTGTTGATAACTTGTGGTCTAAATATAGCTTTGTCCTATTTTGCTAGTAACATTGATCCCTTTTGTTTCTTAATATTTTCATTTTCTTTCTTAAAAAGCAAATTCAGGTTTTCCTATCCCTCATCCATGCGCTAACTATTAGGAGTATAAGACTCCCTTTGATTGATGCCTATTTCTCTTTCTCGCTTTTCTTTCTTTTAATTTTGTACATCTCTGTTCTTTTACTTCTTTTCCATTTTCGTCTTTCTCTTTTACTACTTTTTCCTATTCTAGTGAAATAGACAAGGCTCATTATTTTTGTAATCACACCCAATAAAAAATGCATAAAAGCAGCCGTAGCAAAACCCTGAAGCTAGACATCAAACAAAGAAAAGCAATAACATAAGTACTCCGATGGAGCCCATATACTAGTACTTATGAATCTGATGCATATTTAAAATCAACAAGAAACCTACAAGCCATGCTACAACCAAATCTTTATTCCAGCATGGCTTGCAGTCCAAAATCTTTAGAAGAAAAGTTTAAGCTGTAGACAAAAATGGAAATCTTAAAGGAGTAGTCTTGTATTAGTACTGTAGTTCAAATTTTCAATTTCGAGGGAGGGAAAAAGTTAAGAGAGTTAAAGCTGTGGATAACTCCGAAAACAACTTTATCTTATTTTGCCTGTAACATTGATGATTAATCCATTTGTTTTTTACCCTATATTTGGGTTGAAAAGAATGGAGAGAAGAGAAGTGAGCAGAGGAGAATTATTTACTTTCATTTCCTTCCATTCTTCTTCCTTTCCTTCTCTTCATTTTCATTTAAATAAATAATTAAATTAAAAAAATAAAAAAATGTAAAATTTTCCCCTCCCCTCATCTTCAATTATTTTAATAATCAAATAAAGAATTTTTTTTTCTTTCCTCAATTTCCTTTAAACCAAACATATTATTAATCTTTTCAAAAAAATAACAGTCTAAAAAAAAATTCAAGTATTCTTTTTTCCGAAGAGTACAAATATATTTTGGTTGCCACATTTCCTTAAAATACTAGTACAAAAATACTCGAGACTACAAGTAAAAGTGGAAAGCAAATTTTTTTCTAAGGCAGAAAAATACGCGAATATATAAATGATAACAGGGAAGCCACATTAGCTAGGAGTGCATCCCAAAAGGTGCGAGGGTAAGTCGAAAAGCAAAGTATAATAAAGCACATGCTAAAGAAAAGTAGTATTGTAATAGCGAAGTTCAAGCTGTCATCATTTTTTGGGGAAAAAAAGAAAGCAGAAAAGTTAAAGCTGTTAATAATTTATTTGTGGACTGAAAACAACTTTGTTTTATTTTTCCAGTAACATTAATTGATCCTACACGCAAACTCTTTAATCTTTATTCGAGCATTGCTTGTCGATTTCGGGTTGCTTTTAAATATGTATCAGATTCAGAAATTGCATCCATGGGTTACTTCACGCTTAATTTCTGGCTTTTCTTTGCTTGGTATCTTGCTTCAGACTTATGCTATGGCTTCTTTACGAATGTTTATGTGGTGTGCTAATGAAGATGAATGAGTCTTGTCCATTTAACTAGAATTTAGGATGTAGGAACTTGGAATCATAAAAGGAAAAGACGAAAATGAGAAGAGAAAAAAAAGTTAAAAATGATTAATACATTCTTTAATTTAATATACCTATTACCATGCATTAGTTAAATGATTAAAATTTGTAATTTTAAATATTTTTATCTTTAATTCAAACTTAAAAATAATATATAATTTTTTAATAAATTTTTTATGAAATGTATTAAATTTGAAAATGTCTATATTAATTAGTGTCACAAAATCAAAGGAGCAAAAGTGAGAAAGAGAGAAAAAAAAAAGGACAAAAAAAAGGGAAAGAAGGAATTAACTGGAATAATTTAAAGAACTAATTAAGGCTGGAAGAATACATCAAAAATCTGTTGCTATATAGAAACTATTTATGTTGCAGAAAGTTAATTATGCCATTCCTTCGAGGATTGCCTTTATTAATGTACTTGTCATTTACTTACTTTAAACAAAGCATAATTTTTTTATAAATATAATCAATAATAATGCTAAAGGGATGAAATTTGAATCAGATTCGGAAATTTTATGGTCTTATTCAGACTTTATGTTGTGGCCGTTCTTTGCTTGTTGCCTTGGTTCTGTTCTGATCAGAAGGAAGCGAGAGAGGGAGAAAAAGAAAAGGAGGGAAATTGGAATAAAAAGTAACAAAGAGGGAGGCAGATAGAATAAAAGGAAAAGAGTACTCTTTGGTTGTTTCTTAATCTTTACATTTAAAAAAAAGAAAAATTCGGGTTTTTCTAACAAATATAAATATTTGGGGGGCAACTCCTCGAAAGACAGATTATATTGCCGACTACCAAAATGTTGGAGGACTGCAAGTAAAAGTAGAGAAGCAACTCACGCCGCTTTGCTGCTTTGAATAAAAAAATGTGGATAAAAAAGGGAATGCTGAAAAAGAGTAGTCTCATATTAAAAAGAAAGTTAAAGCTGTGGATAACTTGTTTGCTATTTGAAAAAAACTTTATCCTATTTTTGGTAGAAGTTAGGATGAACTTATATTAGTGTAAGGATGATATTAATTTTTAATTATTAATTTTAAAATTTTAATAATTAATGTAACATTTAAAATTTTAAAATGGACTCTTAAATTTTAAATTGTATGACAAAAAATGTACCCTACTTTTTGTATAGTAACATTAATGATTTGGTTATTAACCAAAGATAAAAAAAAAAAAGACCATTAATGATTGGTCTCTTTTGTTTCCTTTAATCTATTCAATTTTGTTCTTAAAATAATAATAATAATAATAACACAATATTAGATTTATTTTTTTCAACGAGTACATGATTTGCCATCAAGCCC